CTATTATCATCCTCCTGAAACTTCGACACCACCCTGGTACGCGGCTAAGAGAACTGAACAGCATCACAAGTCTTTCTATCCGCCAATTTCGTCATGCAGTCAGCCACCTTGTTTCTTATCCTCTGCACATATTGGATCCTTACAGTCCAAGCTTGCTGAAGCAACACAACATTCTACCTCAAAAGTGTTATTCGACCACGATCATCTTCCTCTTGTTGAATTACATTAATGGCTTCTAGGCTATCAACCTCTAATATAATTTGTCGTTCACCTAGTTACCAAGCACATAATAGTCCCAAATACATCCCCAAATCTCAACCTCCACGAAAACAGAACAGATGCCAATGAATTTGGTAAAACTCATTCGCCACTCCCCCATGCTATTCCGGGCAACACTCCCACAAGCAGCAACTCATTCGCCAGATAAGCCTCTTTCGTATTGACTCTTTCCTTCTAGAGCTTTGATTATTTCCTCTTTCTGATTCATTTTCTATTTGCACGATTTTCCCCCATCAATAGATCCTCACGCCATTGATTTCAACCATGTCCTGTATCTTCACCCTTCAGATACTATTGGTATAACTCTCGTTTCTCATCAACTCATCGGCATCGAAAAGTATAATGTTTGGAGCCAATCGTTGCGTCTTGCGTTCCTCGTGAAGAACAAGTTGGGCTTCATCGATGGTACCTGCAGGTGAGACGACTTTGATGCCTTGCTTCATGCTCAGTGAGATCGCTGTGATGCGATCTTTTTATCCCGACTTATTAATTCGGTTAGCAAAGAGTTGTTTGCTGGGATCGTCTTCGCCTCAAACGCTGCTCTCGTCTGGAAGGATCTCAAAGAGAGGTATGACAAGATCGATGGTTCTCGTATTTTCTTTTTGAACAGAGAAATTGCAATGTTTGCTCAAGGAGATTTGCCTATTTCTACCTATTTCACCAAGCTGAAACTGTATTGGGACGAATTCTATGCGATAGTGATTCCATATATCCTAAAGCATCACTTTATTATATATTATTATTATCATTTTTAAATTTCATTTTCATACTAGAAAGTTCGAAGTTGCATGGGCAATTTTCAACCAATCATCACATGCAGCAGACCCATTAGCGTCCATGAATATGAACTCCTGCAACTTACACTCTTGATTAGCTTGTTCTATGGTAAACCCTGCGAGTTATTTTTCTATCTTAATAATATGAGGTGATCATAAAATATTATATGTTCATAATATTTTAGTCGTTGATAATTTACACATATCCTACAGACGTAACTGCTAGAACCCTGATCTTCTAAGAAGAATAACATTTGCTTTCGGTACTCATTGGATTCACAACAAAGGGTTAAAGATGTATGATTATCTGGTTAGCGGTAAAATAACTGTGTTCGTCCTTGTACTATAGCAACCTCATACTTTAGCCTATATGATACAACATGGACTACTTGCAGGGGGGGTAGGGCCCTATAGGTTGGGGGAACTCTAGCTCATCAACTTGCACACCTTAAAAATTCATGGTGTGTTGTTATCCCGCGGCCGTCCTCTTGAATTTTGATGCTTTTTGGATTTGACTTGTTATTCCATACCAGATATTTAACACTCCCCCCATAATTTTTGTATCATTTCCTGATTTTGAGTTATATTCTAAGTGAAATAGATTATACCCTTCATTTTTACTATACAAACTACAAATAATACTCAAGTTATCTGCAGTTATCCAAAGGAAGATGTGGGGAAGAAATGAATAGACCCTTTTTGCACCTTAGGAGATCACTTGGTATAGTTCTTTTGGGGATATTTAACAAATGGTGGTTCGGGCCAATAAAAGATTCTTTGAAATTATTGCAACTTGGTTGAGCCTGACTAAGATGGAAGTCGGTGAATGAATATCGATCCTCATCATTGGAGCAACAAAGCTATGAACACATTCTCTTGCATTTCTTCTTCTTCTTCTTGGTCCTCTAACAATTTATGTGGTTCCAAAGGAGACAAATCACTAAAATTCTACAAATTCTCTTTACAAGATTTCTACGTCTAGGGACGGACGCATAATTTTATGTTAAAGGATTAAATTCTAAAATTTTGGAGGTAACAAACTTATAAAATTCTACAAGAGGAAAAAAGATTTTAAATAGAAAATACAGAAAAATTCTACACTTGCCCTTCTATCCCCGTCTACGCCAACTGATATCATATACCCCACCACTTCCTATAAAAGAGAAGCCATTCCCAACTCATTTGCTCGTATCATCCCTTAGGTAGCAGTCCTATTAGCTACCCCTTTCTGCAGCTTATTTCTTCTCAAGAGGGGGGGAAAATGTCCTCCCATGGGTCTGGTTCATGGACAGTTAAGCAAAACAAAGACTTCGAAAGGGCTTTGTCTGTTTACGACAAGGACACCTCTGACCGTTGGTACAACGTTGCCAAGGCTGTCGGAGGGAAAACTGCTGACGAAGTTAAGAGGCACTATGAACTGCTCGTGGCGGATGTCGAGTACATCGAGGCCGGCCAAGTTCCCTTCCCCTATAGAGCCTCTGCAAATTAGCCTCATGGTAAATCTTCCTACAACGGACCTTAGGCTCAGTTACTGCATACACAAACTTCATTCTAACCTTTGTTTTGATACGCAGGAAGGATGTCGCATGTCAGCTGCAATGAAGAAGATCAGTTGGTAGTAGCCAGTATTAAATTATAGAAGAATCGGCCATTATTGTTATCTTCGAAGTTTTGTTGTGTTCTTATATTCTATGTTTGTACGATGAAGAGGCACATAATTGTGATCCTTGCTTTTGTGAAACCCTCTTATTAGAATAATTAAATAATTATAAAGTTAAATAAAAAGATGAGCATAAAGAAGTAAAAGGCAGTAACCGGCATTCTTGACTTTTAACTGCACTATAACGTGAACGACACCGCAAAGATCAGCATAAAGAACAGGTTTTTTTGCCCCCATGACAAAAAATTAATTGGCCCAATAAGCACATTCATAATTTATTTTATAATTTACGACAAATATTATAATGTAAAATAAATTTATCATGTCGAGTTGATGAGTTTATTCAAATAATATATTTTTATTTAAATTCATCATGTAGATGTGATGAGTTATAATAAAAAAATTAAATAAAAAATATATTTATTAGAATTTATTACGATGAGTTCCAAGTCAGCATAATAAACGTAGTAGATCTCTGAATAATTTGTTTTGTACTATTACGGTATTAGACCAATTTAGCCATAAAGATCAATAGCATCTTTTGGCCCACAATATCTTGAGTTTAGTCTTACTGAATCTTCCATATTCCAATCGATGTACCAACACCCAAATATAATATACAATACAAACTCATATAAATTCCACATTTATGTATGATCATTTTACCAATGATTGATATCCAATTTGCATGGGGATCGTGTCCTAATATATCACACATCTTTGGTCAAATTGTATAAACCCTCTTTATATTTTTTTTATGGAATTAGTCCCTCTAATCTTATTTTAGTATCTTTAGTCTTCTTTTCTTTTTCTTTTTGCTAGATAGTCTTTTATTACTCTAGAAACATGGATTGTTAATCTTGATTATAATTTTCTTTTCCTAATTCTGTTAAATAATTTGACATGAATTATTTATTTTATACATGTAATGATGTGTTATATTCACTTTGATATTTAGGGGGGAAAAATAGACAAAAATTGACATTTCCTTTTGGTTATTCTCCCCTATTAGCCTATCTAGACCTTCCCACCTAAAAGGCTCTTTACTTTTTAGTGCTTCAGTTTTCAATTGCTTTGGGTGAAAATTCAAGTCATATTTTCTAGGAATTCTTTTTTTGTAGGGAAAAGATAGATTAAAGTTTTTAGAGGGGTTAAAATACAATTTTATCATTGTACTAATTTTAAAATTTTGGAAGGATCATAAAGATTATAATGGAACTAAAGAAATGATGTTTTGTTCTTTTGCGGCTGATGCAAATATGCAATAATGTAGTGGACATGTGAGTTTTAATTATCCATCGAGTATAAAGTTGCAGATTCCTGGTTCTGTGGTAGTACTCTCTTTTAACTCATAATGAAGAGGCGATCAGAATCCTGCATTAGAACTTGCTAAAACAATCAAGAAAATAAAAAAAAATAAAACCTAATATTATGCTCCAAATTCAAAAGAAGAGATTAGATTGAATATTGATAATGATTCCATATATGCATGGGTAATTTTCAACCAATCATCACATGCAGCATTACCCATGAATATGACATCCTGCAACTTTGTTCTATGGCTACGTAGTCTTATATACAACCTCATTCTTTTGCAGTAGCCTACAACATGGACTACTTGCAGGGGGGGTAGGACCGTATAGGTCGGGGCGAACTCTAACTCATCAACTTGCAAACCTTAAAAATTCTGATGCTTTGTGGATTTGACTTGTTATTCCAAACCATATATTTAACTCTCTTCCCATAATCTTTGTATCATTTCCTGATTTTGAGTTTATATTCTAAGTGAAAGAGATTAGACCCTTCATTTTATGATACAAACTACAAATAATGCTCTAGTTATCTGCAGGAAAAGATGGGGAAGAATAGACCCCTTTTGTACCTTAGGAGATCACTTGCTATACTTCTTTTGGTGATATTTAACAAATGGTGGCTCGGGCCAACGAAAGATTCTCTGAAATTATTGCAATTTGGTTGAGCCTGACTAAGATGGAGGTCGGCCAATGAATCTGGATCCTCATCATTGGATTTGAAGGTACAAAGCTATGAACTGATTGTCTTTTTTATTTCTTCTTCATGGTCCACCAACAATTTCTGTGGTTCCAAAGGAAACAAATCACTAAAATTCTACAGATTCTCTTTGCCAACTGATATCATATACCTCTCCACTGCCTATAAAAGAGCAGCCATTCCCAACTCATTTTCTCGTACCATCCCTTAGGTTGCAGTCCTATTAATAGCTACGTCTTATTGCAGCCTCACTGATATTCAAAAAGAGGGGGGAAATGGCATCGACCTCAATGTCGTCTCGTGGGTGTGGTTCATGGACAGCCAAGCAAAACAAAGACTTCGAAAGGGCTTTGGCTGTTTATGACAAGAACACCCCCGACCGCTGGTACAACGTTGCCAAGGCTGTCGGAGGGAAAACTGCCGACGAAGTTAAGAGGCACTACGAGCTGCTCGTGGCGGATGTAGAGTACATAGAGTCCGGCCAAGTTCCCTTCCCCTATAGGTCCTCTGCAAATTAGCCCCAAGTTAGATCTTCCTACATTGGACCTTACACTATCTCATTGTCTTAACAATATATATGTGCATAAGGAGTCCATTTAAATAGCAAGTTCCTGGGTTTCTTCTAACCACTGATATCACGTGAAGCACTTTTCACATTGCTTTCATCCCATAATAATGAACAATTTCAATTATATGCTTACCTTTTTCATACTTTTAAGATTCACCTTGCTTCTTTATCTTATGCTTTCTTCTATTCCTTTGTTGCTTCTCCCAACTACATGCTCCAGCTGATAGTCTTCAAACTATTGATTCTTAAATGACTAAAAGAACACTTATGAGAAGGAAAGACATATAAAAAAAAAAATAGTGAACAGCATGAATTAAAATAGATAATGTAAAAATTCATCCCTAATGTTATTACATTGAATATATAAGTATTCTTCTGAATTTGAGAACTATATAGATCTAGTGAACTAGAGATGTCACATCTGATCCATACTAAATCATATAAAACACAATTATCTTCATAAAATATTATTCTAAATTAGTTCAATAACCAAAGTCTATTAAACAAATTAAAATGCTAAAATTATAGATGCAATCTTGGGTTAATGGACTTATTTCAAGGCTTTGTGTTGAATTTGGTGAAACGGGTCGCAAAACAGACTCATGACATTAAAATTGGTCAAGGTTAACAAAAAAAGTCAATGTCGATTAAAGTCAATGGTCAAAATTCAGCAATCAACGATTAAAATCAATGGCTCGACTTGACTCAGTTCAGTTCTACTCAGTGATTCGATTTAGGTATGGTTTGGATCGGTTTGGGTTGGCTTTCGATTTAGGCTAGGGTTTGTAGCTTTTACATATTATGCCAAGCAAAACTGGCCCAATGGGAGGCCTGGTTCTGGGTCTGGAAGAAGTGGGCACGGGTCAGGCATGAGTCGGTTTCAGGTGGGTTTTCAAGCGCTGGACAAAGCCCACGTGTAGGGCGACTGTGTAGCGCGTGTGTCGTCCACACAACTTAGAATTTTGACACGACGAGAGTTGCATATTTGTGCAAGCTTGTATGTGTTCGCTTCTTCCTATTCTGGAGTCGCGAGAGGCGTTGTACTGCTCAGGTGGATAAGGAACAACTACAACTTATATTTACGTCATCATTTGTGTTTTATTACGTAAAAATTGATGTCACGACGAACATCACAATAAATATATCATTAAATGTCAAATGTGACCATGTATATATTTTCGTTATATTATTAAACATATAATGAAATTAATGTATATCGTGACTTTATAATTTACATTCAGTAATAGTTAATTACAACATCTTAAAAGCAGTTAATGATTCTAGCAGCATTGAGATTTGAACAACAAAGCCTCGACTTTGATTAGAATATGTAAGGATTAATTCATTCATTTTACATCTAACAGGGGAAGAAAACACCAGAAAAAGGCTTACTTAATCAATTACCTAAAAATTAAACTCAGCCTTTAATTGCTTAATTGGATTAATAATCAATCATATCTCATAAAAATTATTATTAATTAAATTCCCTAATTATATTTATAATTTAATTAATTATAGTTTAAGTTAATTACATATTTAATTCCCTTTAGTTTTAAAAATTCTAATTTAGTCCCTAATTTGAGTGTTTAATTAATATTTTGCTCATTATTCTTTTCTGTTTAGGTAATTTATTCATAATCATTTTATTATTTATTATTTTATGTATTATTATTACATTACTATTAATTCATATTATATTAGTAGTATTAGTATTAGTATTAGCATAATTGAGATCAAACAAACGAGAAAAATAATATAAAAAGAGTTAGGGGTTGTTTGATAAAATAAAATGATTAAGCGTTGAATGATTCAATGGCCTGAATGATTCAAAGGCTCTGTATGAATTGACTCTAAAGTGACATGCTGTTTGATAATGGTTCTGAATGTACAATCTGAATTATGAATATTTTCATTTTTACCTTCATAATGATTTATTATATTATAAGATATGATTGTTTAATAAGACAACATGTGAAAAAATAGGTATTATGGTAAAATACCGGGTGCTTAACGATTCAGAATGTACTTTAATGCTGAATCATTTAGTAGTGTTTTGATGTTTCATTCAGCATAATCTTCATTCAGAGGTGAGAGTCAAACACGCTGAATGTTGAACGGTTCAGCATTCAACAGTAAACAAACGACCCCTTAGTTTAGGCAATTATTTTTTTTTAAGATTTTTTAAGAAAAATATAAGCTTAAAGGGTGAAATTAGATGTTCAATCTTTGAGTAGTTTAAAGTTCACACTAAGGGCCTGAAACTTCTAAAACTTATGAACTAATCACATAAACTATACAATTTTTCCAATTTAATACAAATTTCATAATTAATATATCAAAAATCAAATTTAAACTCAACAAATTCTTTTAAACTCGATTTTGGGACGTGATATATATGGTTATTTCATTAGCACTCGACTTTAACATTATCAATTAAAGATTATTTTTAATTATAAAAAGGTCTTAAATATATGAATACATAAATATATGTTAAAAAAACTATTTTTTTCAAATGGTTAAATTAGCGTTAATTGTTAAATGATTTAGATTATTTATAATATAATAGCTTAGAATTTATGAAAATTATGAATCGATTGTAGAAAATTTACAAAACTTCCAATTTAATCCAAATTTCAGAATTAATATATTAAAAATAAAATTTAAACCCAACAAATTCTTTTAATCTCAATTTTGGGGTGTGACATATATGATGATTATCTTATCAGCATTCAATTTTCACATGATCAACTAAATATAAATTTTATCGATAAAAGAGGTCTTAAATATACATATACATATAAATATATGAGTAAATAAAAAATTTCTTTTATATATATAAAAGAGGTCTTATATATAGAACACATAAGTTTGAAAAAAATTTAAAATTTTGAATTATCATCATTGATACGATTTTAAATTAGAGGTGCATCTATGTTGTCATTAAAAAATTTCGCACAATGGCGTCAAATATTAAGTGACATAATATCATTATGCTTTTAAAATCATCATATAAAAGATGAGATTATAACAAATAATTGATTTAATCACGTTAAAAATATTCATGGTGCAATACATTAACTGAAGTAATTTCACGACGTCTTTAAAAATCGTCATATAAAAAAGATATAACAATGAGTGACAAATAATTGATTTTGTCATGCTAAATCTATTTTTCGTGATAATAATAAAAAGTCACTTTTAATGTCTTATAAAATATGACTAATCAAAGTGTCACGAATAAAATTTATTAGTGACAAATGTGCAACGTTGCGAATTCAAATCGCATCGTCGTTATAATAAACGTCACTAATACTTTTTTTTTCATTGGAGACGAGTTTACATCGTCACTATTTTGTATAAATTTCATTAAAAGGTTTCTCACCAAAAATTTTGGCGGGAAGATTTTAACGCCAAACATATAGTGACAAAAATTAATGAACATTTTTGAAATAGTCATAAATGATTAGCATTAATTAGTAAATATGAAGAAATGAAAAAATGTCACATTATATTATATTTTGTGACGTTATACGCAACATCATATAGAATTTCGTCACAAATTGATAAATTTGTTGTAGTTGTGTTTCCCAAATTGTGACAGGAAGGGGTGTCTTGATGGTAAGGGCATCAAGGCAAGGAATAATTCGCTATTGTTGATGAGGCCCATCTAATATTGGTGAAGAGTTGCGGTTGGTGAGAAAATGATAATTGGTCGGTCTTTGGATTAAGGAGTGAGTGGATTATCATGAGGAAGGATGAGGGTTATTCAATCACAGACAATTCATCTCTTTTTCTTGTCATAATTGAGGGTATTTATAATGACTTTTAGTGCATGTCTCAGTCGTAAGGTAATCGTGGCTATTTGTAACCTGTCAAATTAGACAGATCTTGTAGTTAGATTTTAGATTTCGTTCTGACGCAACACATGAGCCTCTCAAAGGTCTTCTTTATGTGTTGTATTTGACCATAAACTTGTATTCGAAAGATGTAGGTTAGTTGAAGACCCTAGTGGATGGAAAGATCTACTTAAAGAGCTTGATTAGTGGAGAATTGACAGTTTAATGAATCTCGTCTAAAAGGAAGTTTGTAGGTTTTCAAATACCATAACCATAGATATATTACAGTACCTTTGGTGAAATTAGATCGATACATTCTCTCTCAAAGATAAGCATAAATAAAAAAAAAGATAGTAACATGCATTCTTGACTTTTACCTGCATTTTAACGAAAACGACACCATAAAGAAATGAGAGGCAGTGACATGGTATTAGGAGTTGATTGAAGTATAGCCCATTGTGGATGAACTAAAATAAAATAACATGAGGCTGACATTTACAAAGAACAACAAGGAAATAACTCTACAAAGAGGACACATGAATTCTATCATTAGAATGATTTCAGGGGCTAAGTTACAGAAATTAACAACAAAGGATGCAGAATTAATTGGGGAAATGTACTTTCTAAGTACTAAAGAAGAGACTGACAGTGAAATGCCCTGCCTACTTTCTAAGTAATCATTACACGATTATAAACTTAAATGAGACGTATAATTAATGAAGGATTCGACTTTTTTTTGAAAGGATAAAGGATTCGACTTTTCTTTTGAAAAATGGTACTTTGTATTAGAAGAGATAACAAAGTACGCCACTCCAAGTACCTCATTAAAAAATCTCCCTAAACCTAAAATAGAGAAAAAATAGTGTACCTGGAAGCGGCAACGAATAATGTACAATTTCATTACAATGAAAAAGAAATGCCTCAACCCATACATCAATGGAATCCCATCACATCTATATTCATAGCCCAGTTTGGAAGCATCCACCAAAACTTTGGATTACTAATTTCAGTAAAGAGAGGTTGGGGATGACGCAGCCCACCTGATTCCACATATCAACCAAAATAGAACGCTAAAGAAATTCAAGCAGAATATAATACATTTAGCCTTTTAATAGCAGCTAGGAATCCTTTTCAACATCAACCAATAACTATAGA